CTCCGAGATAGTCGGAACGTTAAGTGCGAGCTATCGCGGAGACGAAGACTTCAAAACAATGAGAACGAGGAATCAAGTTAGCCAAGGTCATATTATTACTTGAGTTAGTTTTAACCTTTCTTACTGGATCACTTTGAGGTTAGAGAGATTACAGACCATGAGCTTAGAGGAAGTTCAAGTTGTCGTATACAATATACAATTGTTTGTATAATTCGTTTAAAGATGAAATTTTAGGCCAAAGGCTTCTCAGTCCTTCCGCTATTTGTTTTCTAGCTAGACATTTTCCGCGGGACTTTCCCGTCTCCATGGAGATGGATCCTAATGATTGATGCGTATTCATTTTCAATTTCCTGCCATCTATGGCTTCCGATACGCTTAAAAGAACTTTTGAAGAAAAACCTCGCTGATGTTTCTACCATCATCCTTGCTAAATTATTTTTACCCTTTCCACACTTGAAAATCGCCTAAAACTGAATGGGGAACTGGAACTTGTCAGCACTAGAGGTGAGCTAAGGGAAACGTCTGGATATCAATGATGGAGTTATTGTTTACATTTTACTCTAACAGGCACCGACTTGCATCATCTTCGCCTAACATGCACGTGCTTACAAAAGTTTTCCAATCACATGATCAAAAGCTTAATCAAATGGTAAACCATACAGCACTTTACCTCCCTCTCGCACTCGACTGAGCAAGACGCGCTGACTAATTTCATGTCTTTATCGATCATAAACAATATTACTGCGGCTGTCATGCTAACTTGGCCTTCTATGGCGGCTGAGAAAACAACATGGCTAAAAGCGACATCAAGACAAGAAATAGAGGAGTACCACAAAGTCGATTAGAATTACTTCGAAGATCATTCTTGTTTCATTACCTACTTCTTTTTTAGACCACAAGGACTTTGTTTCTTGGTTCAAAGAAAAATCGAAGTGAACTATAACCAACGCGGTAACTTAAATGGCTTAATGTATTTTGCGAAACCAAACGAAACCAAACGAAACCAAACGAAACCAAACGAAACGAGTAAACCCGTACTGTATTTTGCGAAACCAGCTCTTCGAAGACTCTAGCGATATATAACTCATTTCTTCCGATTCTTAAATACTATTCGTAGATACAACTCGATGCAGTGATGATTTGTAAATAAAGAGTTTGAGCCAAAATGTCAGAAGTGCGCCGTTTCGCAAATTACAGATATGTAAATATGTAATTTGCGAAACGAGCTCTTTGAAGACTCTAATGATATGTAACTTATTTCTTCCGATTCTATAACACTTTTCGTAGATACAACTCGATGCAGTGATGATTTGTAAATAAAGAGTTTGAGCCAAAAGGTCAGAAGTGCGCCGTTTCGCAAATTACAGATATGTAAATCTGTAATTTGCGAAACGAGCTCTTTGAAGACTCTAATGATATGTAACTTATTTCTTCCGATTCTATAACACTTTTCGTAGATACAACTCGATGCAGTGATGATTT